AGAACCTCCATAGCCGTGCCCTTAACACTCGTAGCTAAATGCACTGCACACTACTTGTCATCCCACCCGTTTTTTTTTCAGCTAGTAACTAAAACTGTGTTTGGTATGCTTCCCATGAGACCTTGCCATCGAATACCTGTGGTTTCTTCTTCATTGACTCTCTTGGATAGTTCACCACTTCAGTTGACGTAGCTCTGGGTCTGAACTCAGGTGCTCTGTAATTCAGCTCAACACTTCCCTTTTTCAACACTATTCACTCTACTCTGAGTGTGCATAAACGATGTTTCATGCACACCATCACAATTATAGGAGTCACTAGATCTTGGCTGACATCCTGTTGTTAGACAATTCTCCAGAACTTCCATCCTGCTACTGACTTTCTTTAGCTCTTCATGCACCTCTGTCATCTCACCACTCACTGTTTGTTTGTGCTGTTTCAATTTTTCACCCGCTTCAACTTGCAACTCATAAAACGCATCATTCCACCTGTTACACATCATTTGCAGAGCCTCATCCCGTTCGTGAATTTTCTTGTCAATCTCTGTTCTTGCAGGAGTTGTTTATGTTCTTCTCTGTTCGTGCAGTTGTTCCTGAATTTACCCTTGCAGTTGCACATTTTCATGTTTCTGCTCTTCTCGTTCTCGCAGTAATTGTTTCTATTGTTCTTGTTGTTCTTGTAGCTTTCGTGTAACCTTGTTTCTTGCTCCTTCTGTTCTTCCAATAGTTGTTTCTGTTCTCGTTGTGATTGTAGGCATTTCATTATATCAGCCATGGAAATCTCCCCTTGCCTGGCCTTGCCTCTGGTCTGGACACCGTCACCTTCCATCTTGCTTATTATATCACGGCTAGGCTATCCCACTCCTGAGAGTGTTACAACCCTCCTTTCACCGATTACCCAGCTTCCATTACTGGTTAACAGAGGCTAAGGTCGTATGTACAGAAGCAGTAGATATAACAAGTGTAGTTGAATTACCACTGGCTGTCCCGCCAATGTACGGTAATTTCCCGACGATCGGTCTCAGTGTACAGACAAGCAACAGGCAGGTAAATTTCCACCAGGTCACATAAACACACTTGTGTACTGTAGTCAATTTTAATAGTGACTAATTCTTCACAACACTGGACTTATCACCAGTGTACAATTCCTAAGTCTTTTCACTTTATATTAATCACAACAATTCCACAATACTTGCACAACAATTATCTTCAGTTGTCTTACTAGGCTTGTTATACTTTACACTCTGAGCAGCAACAGTTGACTTACTTTTATGCCGTTCGCGGGTGTTTATATACGCCTCGTCAGACGCCCAGACTCCTCAAGCATTTTATCGATATACAGGTAACGACTGGAGCGTTCTAGAATGATCTAGGCTTACAATACCTAAGTATATCATAAAAAAAGATGCAATATATTCTAGAATAATCTTACATAAGTAATACATCAATATATACAAGAAAATCTCCCTAAATTTGCCAAAATAACTGCTGCTTGGGACAGAAAATAATTATAACAACTAGTTTACAAACATTATTCAGTAATACCAAATTATCCCTCGGCATGACAGTACCATGAATACTCTAATTATACATATTATACATACAATATTCATGGGGTTCATTTATTACTTTGATACTGCTTGGGCTGTTTTATTCATTCATTGTACTCCAAGTGACAACAAGGATGAGGGTCACTTTAATCTGACAATTTAGACTAAAGTTGCCGATATTAAATTAATGACTTAAGGTAAAATTTTAAAACAATTTACTTTAGATGTTTTTAGTATGTGTTTTAATTTAGTGATAACAGTATTAAGGTAAAGTACCTTGGTCTTTCCACAGCCTTGATGAAGAAATACGAAGAAATACGGCCCTTCAACAAAGTCTACTCTTCAGACAATTTATCAATGAATTTGTCCGAAAGCAAAATTTGATTGTAAAGGCCTGGGAATTAGGGAGAGAACTCCCTTACCAGACCAATCAGGTTCTTAATAAAGGAAAGTCAAGGACCATGGTTTTCTGAGGAATAGCAAACAACCGTTTGAGATTGACATCTCTTTACTACAAAAATATAACTCAAAACTCTGACACTACTCAACAAACAACAACGGGAGTCAAACAATTAATGCAGTCAATAGTTAATGGAGTTAATCAATTAAGGGAAGCAAACAATTAAAGGAATCAAACAATTAATGGGAGTCAGCAATTAATGGATTCAAACAATTAAATGGAGTCAACAATTGATAGAATAGAACAATAAAGGGGAGTCAGCAATTAATGGAATCAAACAACCCTAGAATCAAACAATGAACAGATATTTCCTACGGCAGTGGCCCTGGAGGAACGTTCTGGAACACTGTGATGCACACTCAGGGTAGGGAAGCGTCCATTCAACTCCACACTCGAGCGACTTCTTGAAATGGCAGGAGAACACCGGTGCACAGACGGAATGAGATGAATTGACGGTCGTGGTAGTGGTAGATGACCAGAGAATTGACAGTCGATAGGTGAAGGTCTGAGGACACAGCCCACGAGTCCAGGACCTATGATGAGATCACAGCCAGAATTTGACGAACAGCCGGGTAGCTAGATAGTGACTGTATGGCGGCTGGGTTGAATCTGCCGGTGACCCAGATAGTCTCTGCCTTTCTCACCTCTGTCCAACCACCCCAAGTGTCGTCCCCACCAGCAAACGAGAGAGTTAGCAGCGTTAACGAGCAGGAAGATCTTTCCGCCCTTACATTGATTTTAGAGCTTTTTGACTCAATTATACTAAACAATTTTATAAAATTGTTAAAAGATAATTTCAGTAAAATATATTTACTTAAAAGTAAAATTACTTTTTCATGTTTACAAAAGGTACTCTTTTTTTTTAACGTTGCTGGTTAGTGTATTACTAACCTTGTTACGCTCTTTAAGACCTTCGTTTTTGAAGTGCAGTAAAAAAATTATAACCACAAAAAGTTTGTTTAAACCAGTATCATAATACAGTATAATTAAAAATTTTACTTGTATCCTCTTCGCCAATGATCGGCTCATTAGCCGCTTGGACGGTTGGCCACGTCTCTATTACGCGCTGTTGGTAAGTTCTGTATTGGGCATGCACTAGTTCCTGAATGTATCTGTACCTGCGCACAGTCTTGGTAAAGTCTGGTCTTGAATGAGCTCACACTTGGTGCCGTCACAACACTCTCCGCAAGATCATTCAAAGAGTTCACAATTCTCACTCCTAAAAAGTTTGCCCTCACAGTTTTCTGGGCTTGTGGCTTTTTCAACATTGAGCTGTGACCCCTGGTGGGGCGGGAATCCGCCAGCTCCAGGCATGGACACTCGACTGAATAATAATAATAATAATAATAATAATAATTGACGGTTTATTGAAAAAGTTCTGCAGCCCGAAGGCTGAAAATATACATTGGACATAAATGACTTATTACATACATTGGTGGTTTAACAAAAGCCTTCATTAGAGAAAGGTAAAGGAACATACAGTGAACATACAGATTAATGTAGGTGTTGAACAGCAAAAACGTAGTGTAGTAACTCCCTCCCAGATGGTGTTAGGAGGGACCTCACGTGGTGTAGTAGTTCCCTCACAGATGGTGTTATGAGGGACCTCACGTGTGTAGTAATTCCTCACAGATGGTGTTATGAGGGGCCTGACGTGGTGTAGTAATTCCCTCACAGATGGTGTTATGGGGGCCTCACCTCACAGATGGTGTTATGAGGGGTCACGTGGTGTAAATCCCTCACAGATGGTGTTATGAGGGGCCTCACGTGGTGTAGTAATTCCCTCACACGTGGTGTAGTAATTCTCACAGATGGTGTTATGAGGGGCCTCACGTGGTGTAGAAATTCCCTCACAGATGGTGTTATGAGGGGCCTCACGTGGTGTAGTAACTCCTTCACATATGGTGTTATGAGGGGCCTGACGTGGGAATAGTACCCTTTGAGATGTTTGTAAACTTCAATTAGGTCACCCCTTGCCCGTCTGTAGTATAAGCTAGGCAGTTGCAGGCGTTCTAATCTCTCTGGGTAACTGTGATGTCGTAGTGCAGTCTCTAGTATATCTCGGGAACCAGAGAGTACTCCAGTATCCAGACGGGAAAGCATCTCGCCAAAGACCATCTTTAGATGGTCTTTGACCTCACTCTTGAAGAGCGTTACGAGGGAAGGACCGCCTAGATATCTGAACTACCTTCTCACATTGGCCCGAGAACTTCAGTTCGTTGTCAAAATACTCACACAGGTCCTTTCCACATTCGGTCTCTATTTATACAGTTTTGTAAATATCTTTGTTGTAAGTCTTCTTAGAGTTTTCGGTAGTCTTAACCTTTTTTATTTCATATTCTCTTATTGTCATGATAAGAATATCTTGTTTATTAGCAAGATAAATGTTTTAAGACCTTTGTATTGACTTTTTTGTATTTCAAAATTTTACTTATTAAGTGAAAACTAAATTATTCCTAAGGCTTGTTTGAACTAATTATTTCTTTGGTTCTCGTTGCAGGTAAAAGGAGGAGCCTAAGGTATCCACAGTTAAACTTGAGGCCTTCAACAAGCTCTGTGACTCGCAGCACTTAGGCCTCTCCAAGCAACATTGACCCGCTCAACAAAACCAGAGGTCACTATGTAATTAATGTACAAAATCATTTGATGTAAGTCATCCAGATTTCATAGACATGTCTTAGCACTACCACCCATGTGAGAAGGATTCGGGCTACATGAGAAGGCAACAAGATTGTTCTGGGCTAACTAAGAGGACTACGCATTGAGTGGTCAGGGGCTACATGAGAGGGCTGAGGGATTACATATGAGTTTTCAGGGCTACCTGAATAGACGCAGGGCTACATAAGAGTTCGGGGCTACTTAAGAGGGCTCTGGGCTACATGAGAGGGCTCAGGGCTACCTGAGAGGGGTCGGGACTCCCCAGAGAAGGTGGAGGGCGCGCTAAATATAAACAAAGTTAGCAGTGCCGGTCGTGGGGGCACCAACAGGCCCGGCCGGGTGTGCCAGTGTGCCCATGGCTGTAGTGCCGCCTCTACCGTGCCCGTGCCACCGTCGAGTATAACTGTGTCCCGCGCCCACACCACGCCCACCCTCACCTTCCCAGGGGCGCCTCCCACGCCTTCCCAAAAAGATTCTAGGGATTCTTACTTGCGTCAGTCACGGGTAAAAACGTAAAGTGGACTGTAGTGTATTGTGGGTGAGGAACCGGGGCCAGCCATGACGATTCCGCCCTGCTGACCTCTCCCACGCGTAGGGGCCGTCCATCGCCCCTCACACACGCCCCACCCCACCACCCTGCGTTAAGGGCTCCCCTACACCTCCCTTACATCTTTTCGCCTTCACCCGGAACTCCATCTTCGCCTCCAATCATGACTGTGGTAAGTGTCAATCAAGAGGGAGGGAAGGGAAGTGTTGTGTCTTTAACTCAATTGGTAGAATGCATCACCCTCGTCTTGCTCCACTGGCTGTCCTCTCCCCTGAGTGAGGAAGAAGTCGGAGGAATGTATTATACTCATGATTATGTCTGCATGTGTCGACTGTCTTTTTCTATAAAGACAAACAGATAGATACCTGGATGGATATTAATTCAATAAAATCGTCATACAAGTCCACATTGGTTCAGCATTTTCACAGACGGTGTAGGTATACAAATAATGGTAAGCAGTGAGCCATTTTAACTACGAATAGCCCAAGACAGCATCTAAAGACTCATTTCCAAATATCTTCTACACATTAAAGTTCTCCCGAGTGCATTAGCACACGTCATAAGTAAGGTCTTAACTCGTGGATAGTGAAGCCCAGTGACTCGTGACTTGGGGTCTAGGAGATGAACTTTAGTGCACGGCAGTTAATGGTGATGGTCCTGTTGAGGTCTGGCCACTAGCTGTTGTAGTATTACACCTGTGGTAATGGTGTACCTGTTGTAGTGTTATACCTGTGGTAGTGGTGTAGTTGTTGTAGTGTTACACCTGTGGTAATGGTGTACCTGTTGTAGTGTTACACCTGTGGTAATGGTGTAGCTGTTGTAGTGTTACACCTGTGGTAATGGTGTACCTATTGTAGTGTTATACCTGTGGTGGTGGTGTAGCTGTTGTAGTGTTACACCTGTGGTAGTGGTGTACCTGTTACAGTGTTACCAATTAAGGAATTGTTAAGCGTTCCTTCAAATTTATAAATCTCACGTACCTCTCAGTCTAAATCACTGTATACAGGTATGGAAACACTACCTCCAGAAAGACCTAACATCCCTAGAAAAGGTACAACACAGAGCTACTAAGGTGATTATTACCCAAGTAGACTGAGGACCTTAGGACTACCAACCCTACAGACAAGACATAACAGAGCGGATCTCATAGAGACATTCAACATGAACCCCGGAACATTTTTTGTGGTCTTGCGCCCCACCAACATGAGGGGACATAATTATAAGCTCGCCAAGTTATATCATGCAGCACCAACACGGGGGGACATAATTACAAGCTCGCCAAGTTATGTTACTCACCACCAACACGAGGGGACATAATTACAAGCTCGCCAAGTTATATCACGCACCACCAACACGAGGGGACATAATTACAAGCTCGCCAAGTTATGTTACTCACCACCAACACGAGGGGACATAATTACAAGCTCGCCAAGTTATATCACGCACCACCAACACGAGGGGACATAATTACAAGCTCGCCAAGTTATGTTACTCACCACCAACACGAGGGGACATAATTACAAGCTCGCCAAGTTATATCACGCACCACCAACACGAGGGGACATAATTACAAGCTCGCCAAGTTATGTTACTCACCACCAACACGAGGGGACATAATTACAAGCTCGCCAAGTTATATCACGCACCACCAACACGAGGGGACATAATTACAAGCTCGCCAAGTTATCATACAGAATGAACATAAGGAAAAACTTCTCACAGATGCTGGCAGACCTATGGTACGGTCTACCAGCTCAAGCTGTGGAATCAAGAACAGTACTGTACAGGGCTTCAAAATAGTCCTAGACAAAACTATCAAGAACAATGGAGGGAACCTACACAGGCCACTGGCCTTCTTCACTCGGCGTGGCCACCTCTAACGGTGGCCATTAGGAAAATAAGGTAGATAGGTTAATTCTGTTGCCGTACCCAGTGTTACCTTGTTACGGTAACCATTAATAACATTATACTTGCTGTAACCTAAAGTTTATTCTGTAACATCAATACGAGTACAGTTACAGGATAAGGTATAAAGTAAAGGTACGGGAAATTTAAATAGTGACTGTGGTACAGGTGACACATTAACAAAGGTGACGGCAACAACAACAACAGCCACAGCAACAACAACAACAACAGCCACAACAACAACACCAAGGTCATCACCAGCAACAATAACAAAATCAACAATAACAACAAAAGAACACTAACTACAGTAACAACAAAAACAACCACCTCAACAGTAATAACAATAAGGTAAATAAATAACAACAATAACAATAACATCTCGTGATTAATACGGGACTAAACGCTCACCTCCGTATATAAACAAAGTACTAATAACAACAACAATATAATAATAACAAAGACAACTACAATAACACCACCACAACATCAACAACACCATTAAACAACAATATTAACAAAAACAACAACAGGAACAACCACACTAACAACTACAACATTAACAACAATAATAATTAGTTACCAAAATACATCTGCAACTACAACAATTAAAACAGCAAGCACAACAACAACAACAACAACAACAACAAAAATAAGAACAAAATAACAATAGCAATAATAAGAACCCTGATAACTTTAACAACCACAATTACTATTACTATTCCAACTGTTGGTTACTTGTTAGAACAACTATTACAATTGCCCTTACTACTTTTACTATTACTATTACTACTATTGCTATTATTATGACTACTATTACGATTATTATTATAATTAATGCGATTACTATTACTGATTTTACTATTACTATTATTGCTAGTGCTACTATTGCTATTACTGTTACTACTATTACTAATGCTATTGCTACTGTTATTATTAATATTATTGTTATTAATATTGTTATTATAAATTGTTATTACTATTATTGCTATTACTACTATTGCTATTGCTATTACTAATACTATTACTACTATTATTATTACTATTACTATTGCTATTACAACTATAGCTAGTGATACTATTGTTATTATTATTATTATTATTATTATTATTATTATTATTATTATTATTATTATTATTATTATTAATAATAATATTAATAATAATAATAAAACTACCACCATAACCACTTCTACTATTACTACTATGTACTACTTTTTTTTCTATATGGCCTCCAGCCTCCCCCAATAGCCACACCTTCGCCACCATTTTATTACCTTAATATTAAATATCCTAATACATAAGTAGTTATCCTAGCTGTGTTGAGTTAGTTGAGCTTCAGATCTATGCGGCATTCAGTGACTGTTGCCTCATAGTCAATATCTGCAACCGTTGTCTGCTTTGTAGCCGATGCTCTCGTTCCCCTGAGGCAGAGCAAAGCCGACCTACTACTACTACTGCTACTACTACTACTACCACCACTAACTACTACTACTACCACCACCACCACCACCACTACTACCACCACCAATACTACTACTACCACCACCACCACTACTACCACCACCACGACTACAACAACTACTATTAACATTCCTTCCATTGTCGTAGTCCATAAAAGGTTTAGGTAACAGAGCCACTACTACCACCACTAAACACTAGTACACAACAGCAGGCACAAGTGTTGGTCTAAGCCAGTGTAAATATCACCCACAGAATGTAATTATTTTTGTGTGTTTTTTTTTCCTTTTTCATTCGTATTTACTTTTGTTATCACTAGTGTGGAATAAAGAGCTCATATTTCATCTATCTGTCAGGCTTTTCGTGTGTGTGTGTGTGTTTGTGTGTGTGTGTGTGTGTGTGTGTGTTCTTAAATCTAGTAAACACGATAATTTTGACATGAATTTGTGGCAGATAAAATGTTTTGTGTGAGATAATTAGGATCGTCTGAAGATTAATCAAACCCAGCTTATTTTACCTGAATATCTACCACCCCAGCTTATAGTGAACTACACTTTAAGATAAAATCAATCGCTTCCTTCAATTTTCAATCCCGCGGTGGACATCAAAAGTGGACACAAGATGACGTGGCACAATCTGCACCTCTTCAACACTTGACGCAGCCTCTATACTTATTCTCCCTGCACAAGACAAGGACAAAGGAAGAGGCAGTGGTGACGCGGGTGGGTGGGTAATCATTAATTTCACGATGATTACATTTCTAACACTAACCTAACTGAACCCAACACAACCTAAAACCCGAAGAAAAAAAGTGAAGAGAAAAATGAACAGGAAATTCTCGTGTTACCCACTATGATAAATGATAAGTCTTTAGTAATCTGTTGCACCCTAAGCACTTATTCAAGCCAAACTAACCTAATCTATCCTCGACCTGATGGTGGAGGATCCAGAGGTGGCTAGCGCTACCCCTTGGGGAGAAGTTTTAAGCCAAGAAATGGATCACTATTAGCACACTATTAATTGTTAAAATTTTACTTTCTGACTACAGATCCTTCATGAGCACATCAAACAGTTCTTATACTGAGATTTTCATTAAAATTAATTTTCTGGACCGAAAAATTCTTGCAGTTTTTATAGGCCGAAAATTAACTTGGTTAATTATCTCAGTATAGTTAGTTCTCAACATGCTAATTAAGGATCACTGGTACATTTGTTTTAATTACCTTAATTATCATTACAGTTTGAGTTTTTGATAATTAATTAACTGACTCACTCACTATCAGGACTACTAGTTATCTAAATTTCCACTTTTTGACCAGAGTACTTATACTGAGGTTAGCTAGTGGCTGCCTGGGAGTGCTAGTAGCCGCCAATGGGTACTAGAGGTCGCCAAGGGATGCTAGTGGGCTCCTGGGGATACTATTGGTTGCCTGGGGAGTGCTAGTGGCCGCATGGAAAAGGTGGTGATGCTTTTGGCTGCCTGAAGAGTGCTAGCGGCCAACTAGGGTGCTATTGGGCGCCCGGGGTGCTATTGAACTCCAGGGGATCCAATTGACTACCTGAGGGTGCTAGTGGCCACCTGGAGAGTGTTAGTGGCCACCTGGGTGTACTAATGGCCACCTGGAAAGTGCTAGTGGCTACCTGGGGGTTCTAATGGCCACCTGAGGAGTGCTAGTGGTTACCTGGAGGTATTAGTGGCCACCTGGGGTACTAGTGACCACCTGGGGTGCTAGTGGCAACTTAGGGGTGCTAGTGACTACTAGGGGAGTGCTAGTGTCCAGCTGAAGACTGGTAGTAAGCGCCTGGGGT